TCGAGAGAAAATAATTTTTGACGGATTAATCGCACCATTGATAACCGGTAGGTCGATATACGATCGTAGAAAAAATCGTAAAATTCCTGTTATAGCGGTATCTTTATGATGTTTTGCGTTGCATTATCATTTTGATAAGTTTATGACCGGGGATTCATTTGCCATTTTATATCTACTTACTATTAACTTTTTCTCCATACCAAAACACACGAAGGAGGAAATGTGATTGTCTGATATTATATCATCGCGATGAACGGCAGGTGAATCGAATATTTAAACTCTTTTCCTGTTTAACGAAGCGGCGTAATTGATTTTATGGGGAACAATTCTATCCCGGATGAAACGAAAGAACAGCCATATGTCTTGCTTGGTATTTCAATGTAACTAAATAAATTCCGAAAGAATTCTTCTTTGTATACTTTCGAGAAAAAAATTGAGGAAATTAGGTGAATCAGGAATGAAATCACGCGTTGATTGGTATAAGCTCGTAAAAATTGACTGATAACATTTAACACACGAAGTTTCATTTTATCCCGACATTCTTTTCATTCCGCGCATTCAACTTTGCAGGCTCCTGTATCACCTTCCTTTTATATAGTCCATTCTTTTATCAAGCAAGTCCATTTGTATATTTTCCTCTCGCAGGCCCTTACGACTCATATAATTGCAATAGATGTCACAATGATTTGTGGTCGTGTTTCAGATTCCTGTGTCGAGATAGCGATATAGGCGAAATTCGTGCTTGCGAGGAATGAGTAATCCGAGGTTTCGGGAGGAGCAATGTACATTGACCATACATTTTCGCGTACGTTGTCCTCCGTGAGGTTCACGGTCGGTCACGTTCGTTCACCATCGCGGACGGTGTTCCACCTCCGCGTATAATAAATCACGCTTTCCAAATCCCCCACGTTTTCTCTCACCTTTTATTTTTATATTTTTCACTTCGGCGACCATACCGGAGATTCTCGCTGACACGGGTCCGATAGAAAGAGGTACCAATACGTCGGGCAGAGCCCTAATCGAAATGCTCGAGTGTTATTATGCGCCCTGTAATTTCGGACGCGGTCCGAACATCGTCGTTGGCCTGTTCGATTCTTCGAATCCTTCGAGAATTATATCCCGAACGGGACGCGCGCCGATAAGCTGAGACAGGAGAAACCGGTGAGGAGGAGAGGAGAGCAAAGGAGAGAGGCGGAGAGAGACGAGAAGAGAAGAGATGAGGAGAAAAGAGAAGACAGAAGAGGAGAGCCGCTGAGTCGCCCACGGCGATGAACGGTACATCGCACCCGCTCGTAATGCCTCGTACGGCAGCCGTAAGTACGAGCAAGTCGTACGCGCGCCTCAGGTAATCAGCTCGTCCATAAATATGTAAATCTCCTAACGCCTTGTACTCGCGTGCACGACGCGCTTCGTTCTTTGCCAACTCTCTTCGTGCGTATAGGGCAGCCGCCGCCGTCCCCACTTCCTTTCATTCATATTAGTGCATTCAAAGTAAAATCATTTTAAGTGCGAGAAATTTCCTTTCGTCTTATATAGTCGTACTGTAAAAGAAATATCTTTTTCTCTTGTTAGTAAATCTCTTAAGACCCATGGTTTTCGTATTATTTCTGTATATGATTTCTAAATTCTGATATATGATTTTTAAATATAATTTTAAATTTCACGTTTCTTTTAGAGAATTTGGGAATGAAGAAGAGCATCAAATATCTTTAAATGTCGCAATATAATAATATATCATTACGTTATAACATAAATATGTAAATATGCGTGAATTATATCATATAAATCATATATATTTTTTTATATTGTATATCATTTAATATCGTTTATTATAATATAATTTACAATTATATTATAATTATTATATTATAATAATCCCTCTATGTGTGTAATATTATAACATACAGCGCATTATATTTTGTCATATATAATTTTAAATTACAGATTTAAAAATACTTACGTTTAAAAATAATAATTAGTCCTGTAATAATGTTATTTATTATCTTCGATAACACCAAATTAGACTGCAATGAGTAAATGCTTTGTTCAACCATCAACGTTTTTTAATCAATTACTATGTATGCAAATTGATGGGGAAAACCTTTGTGCGCGTTTAGATATATCTGTAAATGAGAAAATTATAAAACTTTATTAGCAAGTCAGTTTGATGTTGAGGAAAGCCTTTCATAGCCGACGCGCCATCGATGAGCAATGAACGAAAGGTCCGAGCGTGTTCAGTGAGAAGAAGGTAACAGCGTGATTATCCGCCGCCGTGTTCGTACATTCTATTTTATCGACATTAGAGAGAGTAACTACGATTTTTATTATTCGATGTTATGATACGTTGCGCGTTAACTTCTATATGACTACGTTACATAAAAATATCTTTCATATCTTTCTTTTCCCGTTTTATAATTATAATAGGTTCTTTTATTTATGTGTGAATGTATATAAAATATATCGCCAAACGTGTGAATATATATAAAATATATCGCCAAACTTTTTTTTCCATTTTTATGTCGAGTATTTAAATCAATATTATCGTTTCAATAAGTTAAATTTTCGATATGTGTCTGTGGGATAGAATTTTAAATATTATATATGAATATAATAAATATATATAATAATAATATATTTTATAAATATAATGATTAAATGTCGGATTATATTTATTAAAAATAAATAATATAATATATAAAGATTCATCAAATGGGCATTACTATTGTTTATTTATTCAGATTTGCATTTCCTGATATTGAAATGTTTAAATTATCAATTATCAGTATCGATTATGCAATTCGTTCCAAATGCCTTTGAAGATAAAATTATTTACTGGTCAATGAAGTCGGAAAGTTATTTTGCTACGATAACACTAGGCCGCATGTTGCCTGAATCACTCAGCAAACCATCTTTAATTTAAGTTGGGAAGATTTTCCGCACGTAGTGTACTCACCTAACTTGGCGTCTTCAGATTATCATTTATTCCGGTCGATACAGCATGTTTTAATCGGACGAGATGTGGCAGAGATATGAAAATGGCTCGACGATTTCATTGCCCTAGAACTGATGTCTTTTTTCATAATGGAATTCGAAACTTGCCAGAAAAGCAGGAGGAGATTATAGATAATGAGGGAAAATATTTTGAAGATTGATTGTAGTATTTATATTATACATAAATAAGAGAAAATTAAGAAAAGACTAAAACTTTTGTATATCCTTTGTTACGTCCTGGGTGTCTCGGAAACTACGAATTTCTCTTTTTAACACATTGCGGACCGCTAAGAAATCTGTAAGACATACGCCTGGGACCGCACGTTTTGGGCAAACTTGCACGTTACTAAAATCGTCATAACATTTTTATTGATGAAGCAATGTTTGTCAAACTTTCAGAAATTGTAAAATAGGACGCATTTTAGGTATTATTGAAAAAAAAAATTATGTTTTTTAATAATTATCATAACTTTTTTACTTGAAAATAAATTTTTACGAATTTTTTAAAAGTTGTAAAATAGGATGCATTTCAGGTATTATTCACCCCTTGACATACAAATTAAATGGAACTTAATGCGACCAAAAAATACTATTTAATTTCGCTCAACTGAACAGTTACGTGAAAGCTGAGAAAGAGTACATTTTAGCATTTTAGCAACTATGTAATCTAATTGTAAACTGCACGGCGTCCGCCGAAAAAAGCGCTTGACGAGTCAGACTCGTTAAAGTCTACAGTGGCCCATGAAATGAATGACGAGTCAGACACGTCATTGTATGTCAAGGGGTTAAAAAAATTGTTTTTTAACCCTTTGCACTCTAGGACTCCGGAGCGGAGCCATTTAAAATTTGTCTTCAAACTCGAGGACTCCGCTATGGAGACAATGCAAATAACTTTCAGTTCATAACATAAGGACAAAGACAAATCGTAAAAACTATTGTGTATAGGATATTCCGCTCTTGCTATTTGCATTTGAGTTTGAAGAGTTTGAAGACAAATTTTAAATGGCTCCGCTCCGGAGCCCTCGAGTGCAAAGGGTTAATAATTATTATAACATTTTTATTTAAAAATCAATTTTAAACCAAAGTTCCTAATACTTTTTTGACACATTGTTGACCGGCAATTTTACTTAGAATTTATCTCATGTCATCGGCTATTATTTCGTAATTAAATGTGGAAGTGAAACAATATAAATAAACTTCAATAAATTTCATTTAATATTTAACTTTTAATATTTCTTTTTGTTATGATAAACGGTGTAGCAATCACCTACGTGTAATGGTACACAATAGGTTTTGCAAATGTATCTTGTTTCGATCGCGCAAATGTATCTTGCATCGATCACGAGTTTACTCAGCAACGTTTGAGCAGGAAGACACGAGTTAACTCGTGACCGGTTAACAATGTGTTAATTATATGATTGCGCAAGCGCTACTGTAATAAAGATAAGATTACAATGGCCGCCACTAAACGTACCGTATGGTTCCTAATGCGTCCATCATCTATTCTTACTTCACGTTTAGGACTTGCCAGTGCGTGAGTAAACAATTTTGTTGCGTTCGTCCTCTTCCAGGACGTAACACTTTAATACATCGACGTTAGATCTTTATTTACCTGTATATTTTCACTTGTTATTATTGATGTATACCATCAGAGTCTTAATTTTTCTACCTGTTAAAAAGAAAATTAATTTATTTAACCCTGATATTTACCGTTAAAATTCTCCGATTCATTTCTGATATTATTATTACAGTTATTTTTATACATTTTCAAGCACCGCCGGACGGATATTCATTTCATTTTGACAGATCTTTGTTAAAATGGGACAAACTGTTGTTTTCAACGTAGTGGGTGTTGCCCCCCCCCGGCGGTGGATTGTGGTCACAGAACTCATCATCCTTCCACGGTTCCTCGTTACGCTTGCGCTATCAGAGGGATCGTACGCGGAGAGCGCGCGGCTGTATAAAAGCAGCCACTTGTTGAGCGGCACGCATTCTGCCGATCCGCCGCTTCCGCCACGGATATTTCCTGCTCGACAACGAAAAAGGGAGACGTACGGGGCCGTCCGGCAGACGACCACGATAGTATTTCCCGTATCTTGTGACTTCAAGTTATCATATCCTCGACTTAATTCGTCACGATCTGAGCGACCGACGTGGGACTTCCGACCAAGCCAGCCGATCGCCGACGCTCTAAATTAACGTGCGTCAAAAAGTAGGTTTTAGTAGTTTTTTGGTGTTTCCTTGCATATGAGTGGGCAAGTTGCTCGCGAGAATGCTTTCGAATATGTGTGCACACCAACTGTCATGAACACTTTAGAGTCCATCTGTCAAAGCGAGACTCGTGTTTCCCGCGTTGCAATGTAGATAGAAAATGAGATAATACGTTAATGAGAAGAGTTTGTTTCGCCCAAACAAGAAAGTTAACTTTGAAATGTGATTTTGCACGTGCGTACAAAGAGAGAAGGAGAGAGAGAGAGAGAGAGAGATTAGCAACTTGCGTTGCTTTCGCTTTTCATTTCATTACATTTTCTTTTTTTTTTTATTCAAAAGTTATCGTGATTTCGTTTAATAAAACGCGTGGAATGCAAAATACAAAGATGTTCGCGATACATTTGTCGAATTTGTTTACACCATCCTCGAGAGAAGATCTATCTACATTCGTTATCCTTACGCAGATCCTTACATGATGTGATTCAATCCGCGATGATTCAATCCGCGATGACACTCTGCGATGTTCATGTCGTGACGTAGAATCGAGTAATTACAATTACGGAATCCGAAAAATCATTTTGACAAGATAGACGATAGTGTCAATCGCCGATGAGAAAAGCTCATCGTATACGTAAACAAGTCGGAATCGGTATGAGATGTCATTATCATTTGATATAGGCGCCACGTGTATCGTTTTAACATTTAATTCGTTTTTACTAACTGTATCGATTATAATTAATTAAAGCAAGAACGACCTACGCGGAGGAAATATTGTAGTAAAAATTATCACAAAATTTTGTAATGCTGGAGCGTATCGGAATTGCCATTGAAATTATTAAGTGTGTTGTGTAATCTTTAGTGATGTATATTATGTATACACATCACTAAAGATTACAACACATTTTTTTTAAAGACTACAACGTCATAATTTTATCAATAGTTATGTGATAATTTTTATATTTTCTCCGTGCACATAATTTCAATAATAATTCCGGTACAATTCAGCATTATAAACTTTTCATAATTTTTAATAATAATTTTTAATAACTTTGGATAATTTTTCCTATAATATTTTGCTGCTATCTATCGTCTCGCAGACTCCTATTCACTCTAAGCTTTCTGACAATATCGTACGTGCGGCTCCGATCGACTGTTTATCGTGTTTCGTGACTCTCGCACGACAACTTCCAACATGGAATATCTGAGAACGTTTCGCAAAAAGACAGAAAGAGAAAAAGAGGCAGAGGAGCAATTAAAATATAACCGTTGGAGTTTAGTATTATATGTAGACATGTCCTTATTATATTCGTCATGAGTCACAGAAAGAAGCTTTTTTATGTGATTTTGTCGCAACGAGAAAATGAATTTTTAACTAAGAAAGAAAACGCTTCTATAGAAAGAGCAATACTTATCTGACTTTTCTCAATCGGAATGAATAAAATACTCTCTTAAAGTACAGCTACTTATCTCTCCTCAAGTTAAATATACATACTATTACGTTATATGTACATAAAAGTACCTATTATTTTTATTTGTATACAATATAAGGTAAATTACATTATAAATTATTATTATATCAAGAGACGAATGACATTGCAAGAAATATACAATTATCATTTAAATGTCCGGCAAGAGGCAACTCGAAATATCAGCGCAATTCTATCGCTTCCGATTCTGTGGTCCCAATTAAAGTGATATTTATTATCATTATAATTTTACCCTGACAGACATTGCCAGAAGATATTTAATCTTCTTTGGCTAATAATAATAATAATAATAATAATAAATCGAAAAGAGTTAATTATGAGAGACAACTCGATAGAAATATTTTAAATTTTATATGCATATGAATTTTATATACAAAGCAACATATAAAGTTCTGGCTTTAGGTTAGTTTTCATAAAATTGCAATATACAGTAAGATTAAAAATAGCATTGATACTTGATTCGCAAATCGACGAAATTGGATTATTCGATAATCACTAGGGAGCGATTCGAGAACGTTACTGGCCTAACTGACATTTGCTGGCATTTTCTTCGATGAATTGCGAATCACTGACGGAGAATCCGCGGACGGCCAGCGGCGGCGGTGGCGGCATCGCGGATAAATCCTTCAGCAAACCGCGTGGCGACGGTGAAAGCTACGGGAAATTACAAAAGTCGGAAGCGGAAACAGAGGAAGGACGAGCTTTTAATATCACCGGGCGTCATTCTGGCTTCAGATCCTCGCGACTGCCTGCGACCGATTCGATTTTCCGTTCCGTGCTAGTCTCGCGATTCTTTCTGCCTTCGCGAGGACCGTCTTGTCCGATAGGCCGCGATCCTGGCCAACCTGTGATCGAAACAGCTTTCTCGTTCTCAGTTTGATGCGAAATTTACAAATACATTTATTTCTTTGGTATGTTTGATGAGCAAAGAAACCGTAAAAATGCAAATATTGAAACACAAGGAATTGATTTTTAGAGAAACGAAAAAATGGGAACTGGAGAAATTATATCCCATTTCTCTCCGCATATAAACAGACGGTTTTTCTCCATAGCGTCGATAGATATTGCGGGCTGAGAAAAGTTACATTTTTCATTGGACGGCGTTGTAAACCGAGTGAAAAAAAATGTGTAAATCGATCAGTCCCTTCGTACGATTCAGTTTTCGTATATTATTCACCTATATCGGTATATCGGATAGATATCGTGCAAATGCATTTCGCCCGATAAGATTGGCCGCTTTGAATTTCCGTTAAAAGTGATATATTTTCACTTAACAATTTGATGGCCATTGTCACGTATACGTGACTTCACTCCGTCAACGATTATCGGTTCATGTCACGTGTTTCCGCGAGACACTCGACCGTTCAAGAACTGATATCAAGGGAATTTTATTATAACATAAATTATAAACTCACCGCGATATACGAGGCTGTAATTTAAATAAAAAAAAAATGCGACACCTCTAACTTGGAAACATTTGCAGGAAAAGATTTCAGAAAATTCTTAGTCTGCTTTTTAGGCGACGGATGAATGACCCGTGAAAATTTCAACGCGGCTTGGAGTCGCCTGTTCGAGTTGGGACAACCGTTGTAGCCAAGTGATGAAATCGGGTATATATAGGGCCATCAGAATTTAGTGGACCCTTAAAACTGTTCTTGGGCAATTTCGCCAACATTTCCTCGGCCCAAATTTTATTTAACCCATGATATATCATAATATATCGTGTGTGATAATTGCGAAATATAATTTATAATCTATTTAAATTTTCTCTCCGTTCTTTAGAAAGTTTTAAAGAAATACAAATTATAAAATATGAGCCTTTATGAACAGTTAGAACCGTTAAAAACAATTGTTAGAACATTTTTTTGAATTTATCTTTGAGTACATAACGAGATGTAATATATAAGAGCTATCGCTGGATTTTAAACGCGACAATTAGATCCAATTCTTTTTTTAGCAATTTTAATTGTTTGCAAAGGTTAATACTTTATCATTTTTTTTTTAAAACCTCCAAAAATAGGGATAAAATTTTTAATAGTGATTATTTTTAACAGGGATAATTTTTAAATAGTGTAATTATTAAATAGAGTATATTATTTATTATGCATTATTTATTTATTACATATAATTATATATTATTTCGCTATTGCTATGTGCTATAAAATATCACTGGTTGAATAAAATTTGGGCCGCGGAAATATTGGCGAAGTTGTCTAAGGATCTAAGTTTGATTACTAATCGCTATCTAAGATCGGACATGTTTCGAGTTTATTTATGCGTAGAGTATACGACTGGACACGAGAGGACACATTGGATCCTTGCGTTGGCTAAGAGTGGGATTCTGTGTTTTCCGAAACGAGATTAGCCACTACTTACGAACACGCGACATTTATCCTTGTCTCTACTTCGCTTCACATGTTTGAGAACGAATGCAAATTTTCAAGAAATAGTACGTGTCTCGGCATAACACGGGCAGTATACAAGTTTAAAGATAAATTTTTAGTTCAGGGCAAAAGTACGTCAATGCAGACATACATTACATTCGCGCAATTCGACCGATAAGATTAACTGCTTCAAATGCTCATAAACGCTATTTATTTTTATCTAATATTTTGATGGTCATTTTGATAGTCACGTATGCGTGACTTTACTCCATCAACGATTATCGGCTCGCGTCACGTATTTCCACGGGACGCTCGACCGACCAAAAGTTGATATCAAGGGAATTTTATTATAACAGAAATTATAAATTCACCGCGATACATGAGGTTGTAATTTAAATAAAAATGTGACGAAAAATGTAACGGAAGGATACTCCCTGACTTGGAAACATTTGCAAGCAAAGATGTTGGAAAATCCTTCGTCTACTTTCTAGGCGACGGACGAATAGTGACTCGCGAAAATTTCGACGCGGAGTCCGCCCGCGTGGGGACAGCCGTTTGCGGCCGAGCGGTGCGATCGTGGCTCAAGTGTGTTACATGTCCGTCTTGAAACGCCTCACCGTACTTATTGGCAAAGACGACCCGATGACGAGCGATCTGGTTCTAGGCCGTGACGAGATATCCTAACAAGCTCGACGGCCATGTGACGCCAGCGGCGATCGATGGTGAATCCGTAGAAATTAACGATGAACTCGCATTGCGAATTTACGCGCTAGGTCAACATCGCTCGCTCGCTCGCTCTCTCGTGATCGGCGCGGCTCCCGCGTGAGAATCTCTCGTCGTCAGCGAATCTCGCGGATTCTCGTCATCGTCTTCGTGAGCAGAAATCGACTTCTCGCAGCGTCGACTCGCGCCGCCGAGTCTAGATCAGTGTGTAGGAATCTTCGAGCTTTGAGAAATCGAGGAGTCGTCACATGCTATCAATAAGGTATGATCAACGAGCCAACGTAAGCAACGCTGCCGCATTAGGATCAGCGTCTCGATATAAATCGTTATTTTCAATTTTCCTCTTAATTCAATTTTCCTACTCGTGCGTATAAATGATTTTTTCTTACGCGTAGCTATATGCGCGACGCGCTATTTTCAAAGGGTAATAATATTTCGTCAAGAAAGCATCACGTCTGACATTTAACGATTGTTACTTTTTCTGGGAGGGAAGGTCCTTTGTTTACGCATCACTCGATCATCGTTGTCAGTCGATTGCAACAGAAAGACCTTTCGCAGCATTTTCCGCGAGAAAAGAGAATTGATATTTTAATGAAATATTGTTACACGGCTGTAGTAAGAGACATTATTCTGATTTCTTTTTCTAAGTGTTTCGAGCATCCTCGTGCGATGTAAAAGTTAACGATTAATAGATAATAACCGTCATGTTCTTTGTGGATTGTTGCAGGTAGGATGAATTTGGAAGAATATCGCAGACATGGTAAGTGAATACATACGTATAAATATAGAATTAAAAAAAAGATAAAACGTATAATTGCTTTATAGATTTATTGGCGCGAGATCGTTCTATAAAATAAAATTTTCGTCATGTTCTGTAACTTTGTCTAAAGAATTAATGTTCAAGCGAATTTAATCGTGCGCATAAATACACGTATCAGTGTAGAAACAAAGTTCGTGAGAATCGGAGTGACGCGTTGTAGAAAATCCGCCCGATAGATATAATAAATCAAGCAATTCCGGGACAATGATCGCGCGACGCTGAAACGTCGCCGATAAATAGAGATCACCGATAGAATTGGTAAAGCCCTCGCAGGTGCGATATTGTTTCCGATACGGCATCCCGACATTACAATTTAAGTCACACGCTTCGGAACTACGACTCGGCTTGAATTCGATCCCCCCCCCCCGCGATTTCAATCCGTAGTCGGCCGTTCTGCCCTATCGTTTCAGCGTATTAGGATTGATTTAGCGCCAATACGTGTTGCTTTACATCGCGACGTGAGATTATTCATTTATCCATAATTGTTGCCAACACAACCATGGATAAGATAAATTTTATTTACTCTTTTCTTTCTTTCTTTCTTCGCGGGGGCAGCTCTCCGGCTCGACTAAATTACGACTAAATGACGAAAGGGCAGTTTGAGGAAACTATTTGTTCCCCTCTCTGCGGGAAAGAAATACACGTTCGGATAACGTGCTTTTGATCCGAGATAATGTGTATCTCGGAAAGAGTGATTCCGCTTTCTAAACAACTGCAAGACGATTGAATCACGACATTGTGCGGAAAAGAATGCAGTCTTTGTAAAATCTCGTCTTTGCCTTAGCACAGAATAGCCTCTCGATACCTCAAAGTCTATCTTTTGTTTCTCGGTTGCTTTCAATCACGGGTGACGGACGCGCTAAACTTTTAGCGAAGGGCCTTCGCAAACTTAATCATTGCAATGTATTTACCAACGATTTTCAATTCTACCGCGTTAGCGTCTCGCGATATAAAGTACTGACAGTTAAATGGATCTCGATAGTCGAAGTCAAGAAGGGAAAATGTTTCAGAAACAATTTTCATAATTCGTCATTTCGTAAGTAATCGAGGAATTGATTCGCCACGGTTGAGAAAAAACATCCACGGAACTGTCACGTAAACCGATATATCGAATCGCAAAGTATTACACGCGTCGCATCAAAGCGCACGATTTGCGAATAGAGAACATTTACTTCACATGTATGGATCAGTCGAAAAGTTTCGTTCGATTTTTTAATAAAATTCGATTTTATTGCATTCGATGAAAACGAATTTTTCATCAACCGAAAATAACAAATAATCGCCGTTTATGATTCATCGCCAACAGCTAATTATCTAATAATAATTAATTAGTGAATCATTTATTTAATAATAAATTTGTTTCGAATGTAAAATAAAATCGACTAAAGAATTAAATCAAACCTTTTGACTGACCGAGTAACTTTCAAACGTACAAGATCCGTACAAGATGATTATTGCAAAGTATACGTAAAATATCGCGCAGGCAAAGAAATGGTGGATTACATCGCCGATTACCTGGGCAACATCCGTTCTCGGCGCGTGTATCCAGCGGTCTCGCCGGGATACCTGAGGAACGTCCTACCGTCGTCAGCGCCGGTGGACGGCGAGCCTTGGGAGGATATATTTGCCGACATCGAGAAGTGCATCATGCCGGGTGTGACGCATTGGCAGAGTCCGCACATGCACGCCTACTTTCCAGCTTTGAATTCACCCGCCAGTCTGTTGGGCGACATGTTGGCTGACGCCATAAACTGTCTGGGTTTTACGTGGGTGAGCGTCGTAATAAGAGTCGTACATTTCGTATTTCGGTCCTATCGCGAATATCCAAATACATTTTAAACAGTCCGTCTCGTTATTTCGCGAATGATTCAAGATAATTGTAATTTTATACTTTTAACTTTTTATGCACGAATTTGGTGTTAATTTCTGATATAATATTTGTGTTACTTTTCGACGCATTCATCTTGTGTTAAATTAACACCAAAATTTGTGTAGACCTTTTGAGACACGTAAAATGTGTTAAATTTAACACAAAGTTTTTCATTGTACGTAACTCGTATAAAATACATTGTTTAATTTGGAAATCATTTTATATACGTCATTAATGTCTCTCAATTATTTGACGATTAATAGATACGAGTTTTACAGATCGATATTCGGAAATACTCCAATTTTCGTCTTTTGACTTGCAGACCGTTCGAATTGTCAGTCGCCTCGTAACAACGTAATTTTCAATTTCAAATTACCGCATTATTTCACATAGGCTTCCAGTCCGGCGTGCACCGAATTGGAGACGATCGTTATGAATTGGCTGGGCAAAATGATCGGTCTAACCGAGGATTTCTTACATCGACCGGGTGGCTCCGGCGGCGGCGGCGTTATTCAAACAACGGCATCGGAAGCCACGCTGGTGTGTTTGCTCGCGGCCAGGACCAGAGCGATCAGGGATGTGCAAGAGAACGATCCGGAGCGTATGGCGACCGAGATCAACTCGCGACTCGTCGCTTACTGCTCGGATCAGGTTCGTAGTCACAATGCTTTCAATCTTCACGATCGAGCGCGAGAAGGCCGAAGCAGAGGCGCCCGAGAGATAAAACGAGAGTACAAACGCTCTCGTGACACTTTATTCGAAAGTATGCGACAGTTGGGAGCAATCACGCGGAAAAGGCAGAGAGGAGAAATAACTAGCGTTAATGGGAGTAGGGGCGATAAATACTGCGTATCGCGACGAATGGAGACTCTCAGGCAGTCCTCCGAGGGCTTTTTACAGTTCGCTTAGAGCCAGGATAAATACGGATAAATGGTGATATTTATTCGCACTTGGACAGGAGTTTCCTTGAATATTAAAGGATTTCGTTGCGAATGTCCTCGGATGATGGTGCGGAGAAAATCAAGAAATGCTTTTTCTCCACTCTTCGCCCGCGATTTTGTCGAAGAAAGTGCGCGTAAATGCGCATTGTGGATTTCAAAATTAACATTTTTCGAGATTGGAGCAGTTAGAAAGATATCAGATTTCGATGAGCGATAGAAAAATGTTTACTGATATTTCGTCAATGTTTCAGTTTCTAAAATGTGAAAAGCGATAAAAATAAAAATTTTCCTGCAACTGTAAAATAAATTCAATATTCTAAGATCCTCGTCTGATTGTGCGTTTCTCTTGTCATTATTGTTACTCACATAACAGGCACATTCAAGTGTGGAGAAGGCTGGACTCATAGGACTAGTCCGAATGCGATATATCGAATCAGACAATGAGCTAAGCATGAGAGGCGACGCTTTACTCGAGGCAATAACGCACGACCAAGCAGAGGGCCTGCTTCCTTTCTTCGTAAGTTTCTTCTCAATTCTTCTTACCTAATACTTTTAATATTTCTTTGTGAGACACGTTGTTTCGGATACATTGTAATGCATCAACACAGATAATTTCTTAAATACATTCGGCATTCCTGTATTTTACCGAAATTACCGTATAGTACATTCGGTCGTCCTGTATTTTACCGAAAAACATTTTACTCTCGATACTCGAATTATCAAAACTTCGACGTGCACTATAATAATTACTGAACAATATTGATTCATTAATTTATTATAGTAGCTTTAGTATCTTATCATATCGCGAATAATAAAACTTTTCTTACTTAAATGTAATAAAATCATGGTCATTGAAATGTATTGTGCATCTATTTAATAATAATGTTATAATATTAAATTAATATTAATAATATAATACTTAATATTTTATTATTAAATTTTAATATTAAATTTAATATTTAATATTAATATTTAATATTTTATTATTAAATTAATATTAAATATTATTATATATTACATATTATATAATACATTATATTTAATAAATAATATAATATTTATCTGCTACACATTTATTAATTGCACATATCTATTAATTATCGTGTCTCTCATTAAATTAAATGTCTTTACAAAAAGCATGACATTTTTTCATACAATTTTCCGCGATCATTATTAGTAATTTTTTTATATTATCCGTTTGTTATGTTTGCAACAATGGAGTCGTAGAAAATATGGTGGCTATAATAACTTTATAGGGACTAAATCTGTGATTACTATAGCTGCACTGTAGTTGCATAAGCTAGTAGTTCAAGTATACGCATAGACCGACCAGTCCGCCAATTATTGGCGTATTCCCTGCAAGCAGAAAGAGATGACGTTGGCGAGCCAAGTCGGATTGGCGTTACGCTAGTTGGTCCCGCAGGAACTTCCTAGTCCGCTTTAAGTCTCTCTTATTTGGGACGACAAATTTATATCACAGTTGAAGATTTTCTCTGATAAAGCGATATTTTCTGTGAGTTTGTTAACGTGATCGCCAATTTATACGACGCGTTTTAGACGAAGTTACATTGAATATCGCTCTCAAGAGTCGATACTTATTCAAGGGCAGTTCATTATATAGAGCAATCATCACTTTATCTGTGAGGGATTAAATTCTATCTTTGGAAAAAGGCAGAGTTTTCACGAATGATCTTAAAGCAAATTGTTAGTCATTATATTAAGTACGATTTTATTATATCGCATTTTATAATTGTACCGTTCCCTCAAGAAGTTTAAATCTCCGTTTTCTTGACATGTACATACACACACGCACACACATACTAGGTGTTATATTATATCAGATTAAACATAATAAGCGTTGTATTATTTTGAAAAATATATTTGGATTCATCTCAATGCGTTTTAGTTTTCGAACCGTCAAAAGAAAGCAACGGTTCGTTAATTAATTTAATTATTTAAATAAGAAAGACTTCTTTTCTTATTAATATGTATGAAACAATTTTATTATTTATGTAGGTATGCGTAACGCTAGGAACCACCGGTGCGTGCTCCTTCGATAATCTCAAAGAAATTGGGCCGATATGTGAGTACATAAAACATTAACTACAAACTAAATACTCTAAGCATGCCCTCGAGATATCAGTTACGCTTAATGTTAAATTGTTCTTTTTCGCGAATTTGTCCCAAAGCGTTGCGATAGTCCGAAATATTTTATGATACTCCCGCAGGTCAACAGAACGGTTTATGGCTGCACATCGACGCGGCGTATGCGGGCAGCGCGTTCGTATGCCCTGAATTTCGCGGTTGGCTTCAAGGAGTGGAGCTCGCCGACTCTATCGCCTTCAACCCCAGCAAATGGCTCATGGTCCATTTTGATTGCACAGCTATGTGGTAAGAGCAATAACATCACGATAAAGCCATTTCCCTTTATCAATTACACACAACAAGTATCAGCGGCTTTCTTTATTAATCCGTGGCTGACTTTCTCTGGAACGTGAATCGCGCGCGCTTCGTAAGAATAACTATTGTCCCATAATTTTCGTTTTATTGGTCGGGTCGCGGATGCACGGTCATCTTTTTCCGTTCCTTCCGCAATTTCCGCTTTGGAGACTGTTCCAACGATTGAACGCGGTTCGCAATCTTTCGGAATATTATTTCAATTACGATTAAAGTCGATAGCACGGAGTAACATCTGATAAATGTATTTGGAAGCATAAAAATTGGCGATACGAGATCTCGCGAAAAATTGTGTCAACTATATATATCTCGTGAGAGCAGTTTAAAGTAAATATTCGATACAGTTTTCCACGAATAATTCTTTCCGTAAATAATTCCTTTCTGTAAATAATGCGCGCGCAGATTCGATAAAGCACGCTGGAAAACGTGGACAAAGTGAATCGGAAAATCAGCTTAAGGAAAACACGTTTTCCGTGTTTATCGAACGATAGGTAATCAAATATATATAGATAACCAGAGAAGAAATAGGATATTAACATTTCTCGTCGGTCTGCGCGATCTGTTTCAGGGTGAAAAATAGCCAAGCGCTACATAGGACCTTTAATGTAGATCCGCTATATTTGAAGCATGAAAATTCAGGTAACCATGTAATTTAATTTTTATCTTCGATGGAAAATTAGCAGTTAATTTTCGCCTATGAATATTGCGTTACTTATCGATAATTATTTATCAATGTGCAAATAAAAATGCGATTTTATTTAAAAAATCTTATTTCTGCACAGGTCTCGCAATCGATTATATGGTAAGCAACGAGTTTTAAATGCATCTTATAACAATGTATCGTAAAATAAAAAATAATTTATTTTAAATAAGGTTTAAAGAATAAAATAACCGAATATTTTTAATTGTCTTTAAAATTTTAATAGATTTTTTCGATATTACGTAATTATGCGTTTAATAAAATATAAAATACATTATTTGCTTAATAATTTCATTGTAATAATTTCAGCACTGGCAAATTCCCTTGTCTAAGAGATTCAGGGCGCTGAAACTGTGGTTCGTCATCAGGAATTACGGAATTATTGGCTTGCAAAAACATATACGTGAGGTAAACAAAGTGCAATTTTTGAAAGGTACACCAAACTAAATTTAATTATTTTTTATTTCACACATAACGAATAAAATATGCAACTCGAAACACATGTTCGCAGGGTGTGAGGCTAGCGCAAAAATTCGAGGCACTGGTTTTAGCCGATACACGCTTTGAAATTCCTGCAACGAGGCACCTCGGCATGGTAGTTTTCCGTCTTCGGGGCGAGAATACTTTGACGGAGCGTTTACTAAAGAAGCTTAATTCACGAGGTCGGCTTCATTGCGTGCCAGCCGCTCTGCATGGAAAATACGTCATAAGATTCACGGTTACTTCGACAAAGTATGTTTTTACAAATATTTCCACGTATTGCATTTAATCATATTTCTTTATTGCATTATAAATCTATAATCGTAAATATTCTCATAAATTGGATTTAGACGAAACAGAGACATACTGTCGTTCTCAGGATTGAAATTAATTAAGATTTAGTTACTGAAAATTATTTCTCGCGAAGGATTTTTAAATATTGTAATTAAAACCTTAAATATCACGACAAAGTTAGTTTTCAGAATATTTGTCGTCGTTGCAACTGTAATGAGAATAACTATGTTGCAATTTATTGGATTAGAACCTTTGCAGCGTATTTATTAGATTTTGCAATCGTGCTTCTTCCAGTACGACAAACGAAGATATTCTGAGGGATTGGGCAGAAATACGAAATACCGCGAGTGACATCTTAGGTGATAGTTCTGGATCACCTGTACGACCGAGAGTTCCTCTCGCAGGTAATGAGGCAGGACTGAAACAGCTTCAAACGGCTTGACACGATTGGCAACGTATAATAGTCTAAATTTTTAAATTATTCTTTCGGAGAAATATATCTATGTTATACGAGACAAGCTACACACATTACATATTGTATATATTATACGCGTTAAATCGAAAATCCGTAATTACGCAAACATTAAATTCGCTCGAAACATTCTGCACGCCAACATTTATATATTTGTTTTGTATATAGGATATTCGAAAAATCCTGCAACGGTCTAATATTTCAGAAAATATTTTACAAAAAATGTTTTACACAAAAATTATAACGTTTAAAAATCCATCTAATTGCTTAATTGCCAGATAGCGCTGTTAAAATCAAATCTAAATTTAAAATTTTTTAATTGAATTATATATATATATATATATATATATATATATATAAAGCATTAGAATAAGATCATCGAAAAGTGAATATTTTCCAAGATATTTCATATTTTATCCTAATAATTTTCAATATAAAATATGAAATATTTCATAAAGTATTCACTTTTTAATA